CAATGGAAGGGTGAGAAAAAAAAATCATAAGAAAAATGCGCGCGGTTCTTGCTGAGCTGCGGGTGATGGAGCTGACCCACTTTGGCACAGGCCCCGTGGTCCCCAGCCTCCCTGCTCCAGCTGCTGCCTGGCCGGGCCACATTCATCTCACGCCTGGCCTGTAGCTTTCCCTGCCACCTTCGTCAGCAGCACCTTGCCGAAGGAACTGCACAATTGGGTGGCCAGAGAACGAGCTGCCTTCTCGCCTGCTTCCTGGGAAAACCAGCTGGAGATCCTCCACTGCCACCCCAGCTAGGGAAGGGTTGTACCTGCCTCTTCACCTTCCTGAGGGGATCGGGCCAAGGTGGGCAACTGTGCCCTTAAGTAATGCCCTAGCCCAGAGCCAGAGATGTGGGGTATAGGTGTCAACTCAAGGATCATGCGCCCAGCCCATTCTGGGTGACATCTTGGGGAGGGGGAGACCCAGGAGGAGGAGGCCAGGTACCTGCTCAAGTGAAGCTCAACATCTAGGATCCAAGGACGAGGGCCCTTGACCTGGGATGGTGGGAAACGGGACAATGGAAGGCAGATTCTCACGCAGTAGTATAAACGTGAAGGAGCCCTGGTGGCGCAATGATTACACGCTTGGCTGCTAACTGAAAGGTTGGCGGTTCGAACCCACCTAGCAGCTCCATGGGAGAAAGACCTGATGATCTGCTCCTCTGTCAACATTACAGCCTCGAAAACCCTCGTCTGTCACATGGGATCGCTATGAATCGAAATCGACTTGATGGCACCTAACCACAACAGCGCATGCATGAGATTCCCGGATAGTGTGTGAAATCTTTACTCAGAACAAAATCCAAATCCCATACCAGGGCTTCTATGTAACCTGGCTCCCACCTCCCTCTTTGACCTCTTCTCCTGCTTTCCTCGTCCTTGTTCACGCCACTCCAGCTGCACTGGCCTCCTTGCTGTTCTTGAACATGCCACGCCCACTGCTACCTCAAGACTTTTGCACCGGCTGTTCCCACTTCCTGGGATGCTCTCCCCCTAGTATCCATTTGGCTTGTTCCCTCACTTCCTTCCGGTCTTTGTTTATCGGAGACCCTGTTCTCATCCCCGTCACTGTCACTCTCTATCCCCTTTCTCTGCAGGTAGGGGTGGGACCGCCTACTGCAAGAGAAATTAAAGGGCAAAAAAAAAAAAAAAAAAAACAGAGAAATTAAAGGGCCCCAGTCAGCTAGGAGGCCAGGTTTCTGGCCCTGACCTTCCTGCTCATGGCTAAGAAGCCGATGTGACTCCAAAAAGCAAGGCCAGACATAGAACCGCAGAGCAGGCCGGTGCTAGAATAATTTGTTGATAATGTCTATCTGAAAGGGTGCTAACTTTGTGCCCATTACTGGGCTAAGTATTTTACATATATCTCACTTAATAGTCCCTGGGTGATACAAACGTCGGCTAAGCGTTCAACTACTAGCTGAAAAGTTGACAGTTCGAACCCACCCAGAGGCTTCTGGGAAAGGCCCTGCTTCCGAAAGCTCAGAGCCTTAACAACCTATGGAGCAGTTCTACTCTGCACACATGGGGTCGTCATGAGTCAGAATTGACTCACTGGCAACTAGCAACAACAACAACAACGTCTCATCTAATTCTCACAACAACCCTGGGGCAGGGAGGGCGTTTAAATTTATTATCCTCACTTTACAGATGAGGAGACAGAAGCACAGAGAGGTAAAGTAACTTTGCTGAGTGCACACAGCTAAGAAGGGGCAGAGCTAGGATTTGGACCAGAGCCCACGCTCTTTGCCGTCAACTGTGCTGTACCCTAAGTTAAGATCCACAGGACTGTGAGGGGCTGGGGCAGAGAGAGCCTGCAGGGATTGGCCTGGCATCTGGCGTACTGGGGAACCTAGGAGAAATGAGGGCTAATTAATGATTGGCTGTCACACCTCTCAGCAGCACTTCAGCTTCCAAAGCCCTTTTACGTTCCTTACCTCACTTAGTCCTTTCAACTCCTTTCCCCACCCATAGGATAGGACCTGCTCCCTAGCACGCAGGGAGCCAGTGGCAGAGCTGTGGCAGGGGGTTGGGATGGTGGTATGGGAGAGGGAACCCCAAATCCTGTAGGGGTGCCACCTTACTGCATACCAGGCCCTTGATAAGTCCTTGTAAAGTCACTGTGAGATGTGAATTATCATCATCCCCATTTCATAGATGAGCAAACTGAGGCCCAGGGGCTGGGGAGAGGTGCTTTGATGCCTCTCCTCTTTCTGTGAATTTCAGGCTGCATGTTCAAAAGGATGAAGAGGGTCTGCTATGATCAGTGGTGTCTGGGAGCCGGAGAAGGGGAGCAGCCGATAGAGGAGGACGGCAGAGGGGATCAAACCAAGCCTGTCCTATCTGTTGGCCTTGCGCCTTCATGCAGCAGTCTGCTATTCCCTGACAGTCTTGCGTGTGAGTCTTGTCTCTGCATCTAAGCACTTTGCCCTCCTGAGATGAGAACCCAGCTGGTGGGCCCTGAGCCGGTGAAGCCTGGGGAGTGGGGTGTAATGAGTGAACAAGTGCCTGGGAAGGAGCACCAGGCAGATCCAGCTTTGCAGCCCCCGTAGAGGGCAAAAAGCCAAGATCACAGGGCCCAGGGAGCAGGGGTGCTGCAGGCCTTCTCCCCAAATCACAGCCTGGTACCCCTGCTTGGTGACCCCATCCCTGACAAATTCCATCCACAGGAAGTCAGTCCTAGCCTCTGGCTCTCCTGCCTGGGCCTCCCAGAGCCTCATTGGCCCTTCCCCACACTGCCCACTGCTCATCACCCCACATTCAGACCCCACCTAGGGGGTAGGGGAGCTCTGAGGTCTGCTCCCCCCTCCCAGCTGGGTGCCATTGGCAGCGGGCGGGCGGGTGGCATACGGGGTAGACTCTGGTTGCCGTAGCAACCTGCCAAAGTCTCGGGTGGAGGCACATGGCCTACAGGGTGTGTGGGGGGAGGGGACTCATCTTTCTCGGTCCTGGCTCAAGCCCCTGGGCTGGCTTGGCCTGTGAAAAGGAAGCTCAGCTTCCAGGGACATGGGAGTGGCTGTGTGTGTGTGCTGAAGAGGGAGGCGGCATCTAAGAGATCTGCAAATAAATCCTATGGCTTCTGCTCACCCTGCCTCACCCCTAAAGGGCACTCCCCTTACAGCGTCACAGCCTAAGCTTAAGGTGTTAGCTCTAGAAGGCCCCCGTCAAAATGCAAATAGGTTGCCCATTAGCCCACCTGCTAAAGCCCCCCGACTAGTAGTCAGGAACCTGAGTTCTAGGCCTAGCTCTGCTACTAGTAGGCTGTGTGACCTAGGGCAAGGCCCTCTCCCTCTCTGGGTCTCAGTTTCTTCAACAGTCAGTGGGCAGGGCTGGTCTGGGTTACCATGAGATGCCTTCACACTCTGGATGGCTATGCTGGGGGAGGGGGAGGCAAGCACCTGGAATGTGCTCGGTTGGGAGGAGCTCTGAGCTGTATCAAAGCTGACATCCTAGCTCTTCCAGTGGGCCTGCTGTGGCATAGGTCCCATTCCCTTGCTCAGGACGGAGACCCTGGACAAATCCCATGGCCCTGACAGGACCCTGGAGAATCTGAAATGAGGTAGAAGGGGGGAAGGTGGGGGGGGTGGTGCTATAGTCCTTTGGACTCAAGAAGTTAGTTAGAGGGAGAGGTGTTGCTCAGAGGCATCTGGCCTTTGACCGCCAAATTGTACTGCTCAAAGGTGCTCAGCCCAGACCCTAGCCAACCCGGTCCATGGCAGAAGCACCACCACCTCTCTTTACCTGAAGCCACAGCTGTTCCTACTTTCTGAGAAAGGACTTCCTGGCAGGCTCCAGGAGGCTGACCCTGGGCAGAGGGCTGCCTTGCCCACCCTCCACTATTGCCTCAACATCTCCACGACCCCCTGTACACTTGAATACAGCTCCCTTCCAGCACCCTCTGCTCTTTTGTGCTCAGGTCGGGCTGGAATGCCTTTTCACCATCCTGGAGTTGATACCCATTGTCATTGCCTCCTCAGCCCTCCTGGAGCCCCTATCCGCCCTGCACAGCTGGCTGGGGAGAGCTTGGGCCCATAACTCCAGCTCAATCACTCTCCCGGCCATCTCTGCGGGGGCCCTGCTTACAAGGAGTTGAAATTTGCCTAAAGCCCACCTGGCTGGTGTAATGGCACCCAGCAGGCAAATTCAGGCCAGCGGCTCAGAACGCTAGTCATGCATTTTGGGCTCAAACACAGCCCAGGGGGCAGGGCCGAGGACATGTGTACCTCATTACCCCGGCAAAGTGGGAAGCGGTAATTAAACCAGGCTCCACTTAGAGACAGAGAGGGATACACGCAGTCCCAGCATCTCAGTGACTTTTCAGCCTTGGCGAAAACACTCAGAACTCCAGGATGGGAGCACAATCCCTTAGGGAAGGTTCCTGTCCCTGCCAATGTACACGAGGGACTCTGATACTCACTAGCACCTCCAGGGCAGGGAGGGCATAGCTGGCTTTCGTTTTTCCAGGATCAAGGGTTCTGACCACCTGTGTGCTCTCTGGGAAAACGCTCTCAGTTGGGCTTTGAGCAGTGGGGCTACCTCAGTAGAACCATCCACACTCTCCCAGGGCCGCTTATGACCAGGTCAGAGTCTAGAGTCAGACAGTGAGGTCAAGGGTCAGCCTAGGTTCCGGAAGAGAGTCTCCCACTAAGAGGCTACGGTGGGATTCAGCCCTTGACTGACCATCTTAGCAAACCTAAGTGCCAACCACAGAGCTACAGGCCCACCGCCATGCTGCCCAAGCAGTCTCTACACCACCAGGCTCTTCCAGCCCAGGGGGACAGGGAGAGTTTTGGCAGAGCAGATTTGGGGGAAAGGGAAATGAGGAGGGAGGCACCCTGCTGAGTAACACATGTGCACACAGCCTTGGGTGCACACACACATGCAAACACACGTTTTTGTGCCAAGCCCAGGAAGGCTGGTCTAGGGTTTGTCTGCTCGCCCCCTGTTCACCGCTCACTCACCTCCCTCAGCTCCTTGGCTACCTCCTTGAGCTCCCGCAAGATGCCCTCGAGCTGCCCGATGACCATCTTCATGCGCTGTCGAATCCGCTCCCGCTCACCGCCACTGCTGGGGTCGTCACTGGGCTGCCCGAGGTCCGGGGCGCCCCGAATGTTCATCCTTCACCACGTGGCTGTGGGCCTGCCCATATTCCCCCCAGCCGGGCACACACTGCGTCTGCCTCCACGGAGCCCCCCTCGGCTGGGCAGAGCTCCACATCTTAACGGCCCCCCAGCCCACCCTGGCACTGGGCGGCCCTCACCCAGCCCCTGCCCGCTGCCACACCGCCTCCCCTGCCTCTGGGTGGTGAATGGGACACCCAGAGGGGGGCAGAGTCTGACAGAGAGGGTCAAGGTGAGGACACTAGGGGGCAGGAGGAGGGGCCTAGGGTCTCAGGAGTGGCCTCCAGGACTTGACGTGCCTGTGGGTGTGCAGAGCTGTTCTCTGGCACAGCCTGGACAGGGAGGCAGGGGGATGACTCTGCAGGGACTAAAGGTAAGAGATGCCCTTGGGATGGGGAAAGGCAGAACTAATCCCCACAACTCCAGGCAGGCGGGAAGGCAGAGGTCTCCCGGTGCAACTGACACCTGCAGGGGGGTAGTGGCCAGGCTCTTCCAGATGTGAAGGGAGCTCCAGATGTGGGCAGCTCTGGGTAGGGAGCTAGATTGGAGGAGGGTAGCCCCCTGCAGAGAGAGCAAGCCTAGCGTCAGCCCTCCCAGGCTGCAGCACGAGCCGGCAATGCTATTGCCGCTGCCTCCCTCCGCTCCGGTTCCTGCACCCTCCGACGCTGGCCGTTTATTTATTTTTTCTTTTTTGTGGAGGGGTGGTGGAGGCAGATGGTCTACCGCTCGGCCCCTCCTCTAGAGCGGAAGGAGGAGCCCCCTGCTTCAAAGGCAGACGTCCGCAGCCTGCGATGGGGCATGCTCGCCGCGGCCCCCTCCCCCAGCCAGGCCTGGCCCCGCAGGTTCACAGAGAATCTCTCCTGTCTTCTGTCCTCCCTCCTGAGTACCCCCAGGGCGCCCTCGTTCCCAGCAGACTCTCCCTCCCCAGAACCGCCTTGCCTCAGAGCCTCCGCTTCCTGGACTCACCGAGGGTGGGGGCACAGCCTTCCCTCCAAGCAGCGTTGGGGGCCAAGCCCCAAGACGATGTTGGGGGGCCCCCAAGGCCCCCTAGGGCGGGCTTCTCTCTCTGGACCCTTCGGCCCCTGGCCTCAGGGAGGTCCTCCGAGCCGCCAAGGGAGACATCTGGGCGGTGGGAGGGGGCGGGGCCTTCGCGCTCCAGGGAAGGGGGCAGGAAAAATCTCCCCCAACCCGCGCCAGGCTCCGGGCAGAAGATGAGCGAGGGTCCAGCGGGCTCGGGGTTCCGAGGCCACAGTTGACCCGGGCGCACGGCGACAGAGGTGACGCCGGGCCGATCCCAGCGCGTGAACCAAAGTCGGAGCGATCGCAGGGCGCCGGGATCCCCTCAGCCCACGCCCGGCATTCCCGGGGCTCGGCACAGTCCCGGGTTCACTCTGTCCAGTCCAGATCGCCGGGTCCGGGCTCCGCCGGCTCTGCTCTGCTCTGCTCTGCCGGGAGTGAGCTGGCACCGCCGGGCGCCTGGACCCGGAATGCCTGCGCCCCGGAACCCGCGGCGTCCGGAGCGCCTGCGAGGGTCCGGTCAGCCCAGCCCTGCGGTCCGCCCGGGGCCAGAATGCACCCAGCGCTCAGTCCACGTTCGGGAAGGTCCGGAATCCGCCGGGCCCCGGTGGAGGCGCGGTGTCGGCCGCGGGGACTCGGTCCCCTCTGGGCCTGGCCAAGAGCGCGCGAGGCAGGGGGCCCGGCCCGGCTGGGTTGGGCGGCCTGGGCGCGGGCGGGCGCGGCGCCAAGCGGAGGCGAGGG